CTAAAATTAAAGGTTTTATTCTGTATTTCAACTGAAAGCCCCACTTTACTCGCTATTTTTCAAATTTCGCATTTAGGTTCTTCCTAATGGTGAGAATAGTCATTCTGAACTTCAAATTAGAACATCATATGGAGGCAAAAGGAATCTACCACACATTATATGGAAGTGTAAATGTTTGTTGAATGTTTTTTGTACATTAATATACAACTAAGATTTATGAATGTATTGCCTTAACTGCCTCCTTCCCAATAACATCTAAACAAGTCCAAGTCTTTTCTATCTTTAAAAAAAGAAAAAAAAATTCCCATGATCCCCATTTCCCTCTTCTCCTTCCCATCACAGCCAAACTTTGGGCAACAGTTGTCTCTGCTGTGTATTTCCTCACCTCCCACTCCTGCCTCACCCCACTTCAGTCTAGTTTTCACCTGCACTGTGACACCAACACAGTCCAAGCTAAAATCACCAGTGACCCATAGGTCACCAAACCCATATATTAAACAGAGCAGCAAATATAAATATGATTTATACGTGAGTACAGAGCATGTGTTCTAGATGTTTCCCACCTGGCTGTCCAGACATAGGCAAGCTGCTCTCTAAGCCTTGGTTTTCCTTTGCCTGCTGTACCCAAAGATGCACAACAGTTACATGTTCCAAGTCCAGAACTAATGAGACAGACTTTAGTGCTGATGAAGAGAGATGTCATAAAGCAGAAAAACTTATTAACTCAAGTGAAACTGATGGGAAACCAGCTCTCTACCCTCATTTCTTTCTTTCCATTAGTTCCTACATTAAAGTAAACCAAAGACATTATGTAGTAAAAAGCTGCAGGAAAAAAAGCTGCAGCCTTTTTAGAGGCTTTCAAATACATCTTAAATTCAACTATATAAAATATGGTCTCTTTACATTGAGAAGGAACTAGTGGTTACCACAGAAGAGGGTTTGGGGAGAGGGAAGGGGGATAAAGGGGCACAATTCATAACCACAAAAAGTTAGTCACTGAGATGGCAGTACAGCACAGAGAATACAGTTAATGATTCTATAACATCTTACTACTTGACAGACAGTGACCATACTAGAGGGGGTGAGAATTTAACATATGGGTAACTGCTGAACCACTGTGTTATATACTTGAAATCAACGTAAGATTGTATATCAATGATACTTTAACAAAAAAAATGGTCTCTTTGGTTACTGAATGCTTTACTTAACGAAATTTCACTGCAGTGTAATGATCGTTTAAAAACTCCACTGAATATTTTATGTATGATATAAGAACTTTGATGTGGAGAAGAATTACAGCATGGTAAATGTTAAGATCTTGGGCTCTGGAGCCAGACTGCCAGTGTTCACACCCTTGCCTCACTGCTTACTGCCTGAGTTTGCTGGCCAACTTCTCTGGGTCTCAAAGAAGGTAATAATAGTAAGAACTAAACTGCATGTAAAGCACATGGCACTGTGCCTGGAACACAGAAATACTTAGTACATGGTAGATATCACATCGTTATTACATAACATGGTCTTAAAAAGGCATTCAACTGGATGATAATAATGTGTCAGTATAGTTTTATCACTCTAATAAATGTCCCACTCTGGTGGGGGATGTTGCCAGTAGGGGAGGCTGTGCATCTGTGGGGCAGGGCATATATGGGACTTCTCTGTACCTTCTGTGAACCTAAAATTCCTCTAAAAAATAAAGTTTTTTTTTTTAAAGTCACTCAGTTTCATATGAAAGACATATAGGTATGTTTACTCTTCTTTTTATATTTTCCTGATGACTGAGAATGATGACAGCTAACAATTATCGGGTACTTAGCCCTTACTTTGTATAAATTGTTAAATAAGAAAGTGTATCATATACATATATATATATGTGAAAAGAGTACTGTTAGAACAATTCAGTTAAAGTTTTCCATTGCCAAATTTTTCCATACCCAATTTAAAAACACACAGATTATCTTGTCAAGTCTCCAAATTCCATACATTTCAGAGCAGAAATATAATTTAAAGGAAGATCATGGGAGAAAATGGCTCTTAAACAAGACAGTTATGAAAAAGTAGGTTTAAGAATGTAATTATGAGCCTCAACAGAAGTCCGAAAGGTTTGTTAACAAGGTAAAAAGCAATAACGTCCTTGGGGTGATGAATATTCTTACAGGCTCTTTCTGGTACCTCCAGATAAAGGTTAGAAAGACACAATCCCCTAATTGGGCAGTCCCCATATATGCATTTGGCATTCAGTGTATATAAATCCCTGGGATTACTCCAAACCTATTCCACCCTGATCATTACTGCTTTTACAAGGAACAACCCCTGTCTTCACTGAGTTTAGAAAGTTAACACTCCAATAAACACAGCCCTTTAGTCATGTAATAACATTCTTATTTATTGCAACTACAAATCAGATAGAGCAGTAAGTCATTCCTGAAGGAGGAGCCAATACAGGGTAGGAACAGCAAGCTAGGGCGCTTACAGTTTCTGTGGTTTGTTGCAGCTCACAATAATAACAAAAATAAGTAATAGCAAGCTTTAACAGAACACCTACTACATGCTAAGTTCTTTCACGTCGACTAATTTCATCTTTATAATAACACTATGAGGAAGGCATAAGATCTGTGCAACATCACAGACAGCAAGTAGAAGGCAAGGGATTTGAACCCAGGCAGTCTTGAGTCCAGAGAACATACTCCTAACCTCTAAACGGCCCCTGCAGCCCTGGTCCCCTCCCCCCGAATACACTGCAACTGGTGGGATCATATCACAGAAGCTGTTTCCTGCAAATGCTCTCTATTTCTACCCAAGTATTTAAATTTTAAGCCATCATGTACAGTTCCTCCTATCAAAATTAACAATCATCTACACATGGTAATGTCTAGAATACCAGCCACACTGCAGTGCTTCTTATATGCAAGCTCATTTCAGCTACTTTTACTGGACACAAGACAGTGCTCTGAGATGCAGTGAAACATCACCCGGCACTTTGCTCTGTGTTCTCTACTATTTACAAGTAAAAACAGCAATTTCTATTTAACACCAATGACAGAAAATTACTCTCTTAAAAAAAGATGGCCAGCTAAACACTACCAATTCGGTTCCCTTGTAATACTTCCTATTACCCCATTTGAGAATGATATAAGCCATGACATCCATTTGCTATGGTCAAATTACTTCTTATATAGGCTATTTCTTACAATTCACTACTAAAACACTGAATCTGCATTCCACAATTTGGGCTGGAAAAATATGAACATCTCAACAAAGATATAATCCAAAAGTATCTAACAAGTTCTCAAATGTTACAGCCCTTTATGACCTACATGACAGCTTTATAAGTAGGTTTCAACAAGGTGATAAACACCTTGGTAAAAATATTATGTTTTCTGAAGGGGGAATTAAAACTTTTCTGCCAAATAACTATTTTGAAATTTCTGCAACAATACTCTTAATATTGAGAGGATGGAATCCAAGCAGATTTCAAAGTGGAGTTATATAGGGCTTTTGCCTAACTTAACAAATTGCTTTGAAGTGCTTATCCTGCATTCCTGATAAGGCAATACTCAACGACGATTAACATTGGTTTTCTGGAGAGAAAAGCTTTACAAATCTAAATCTCAATAAACTCCTCCAATTAACCCTGGATTACAAAGGACTAGCTGTTTTCAGATTATTGAATGAACAACAACCTCTATATCAATGGTTCTTGACCTCTGAGGGAGGCTCAGACCCTTCTGAGAATCTGGTGAAAGCCACAGACTTTCTTTCATGAGAAGTGCAAAGTTCACAAGCCCACTCCTAGGACCTGAGAGAAGCATCTCAGTGCTGCACTTTGCACCAAATGAAGGGAGAAAGTTGATGGTAACCTCAAACTCTGCGCCAGGAATCAAACATTCCATTTATTCTGTCAATCTGTTAGGGAAAACAGGTCTTTCTACAAATTCCAAACCAGAGGCATTGGGTTTATGAGTTAGCTTGCAGGCAGCTCTGGTCAAAGCTATTGATCCAGAACTATCTGCCCCCATATTCCATATGGTGGATACTTACTGCCTTTCAGTACTCAGCTCAAATGTCACCTTCTCAGAAAGAATTACTTTCTTGACACCCTACTTTCCTCAGGCCCTCTTTGTCACATCTTGCTCTTTTATTTTTACAAAAATATTTATTAGTACTCAAAAAATGTTTCATTAAATGTATTTACTTATTCTGGTCCCTTATTAGAATACAAACTCCATATGGGCAAATACCTGGTATACAGTGGGCATTTGATAAATATTTGCTGAATGACTAAAACTGAGGATGTTGATGCTGGAACCAACTAACAAGGTTTTAAGCAGCTATGAATTAAAAATTTTCTCTCTCCATGATCTGCGGGTCCATTCAACCAGCATTTTACCATGACCCAGGCACTGTTACAGGTTCAGACGATCGAGCAGTGAATAAAACAGGCAAGTATGTTTGCCCTCACAGGCCCTCTGTTTTACCGGAATGTACGGTAGCAGCAGGTCTCTCCCACTATACAGATCCTAGGAGGTGCAGGATAACCCTCTACATTCCTTCTTTGATGGAGTTATGGGAGATTCCCCAACCGAAGGAACAACATTCTGCAATAAGGCACTTCCAAAGCAAGCCTCAGGGGTTTCCCTAAACCAGTTCGGCAGCTCTTCCCACCCGCTCTGCTCGGATGGGGCACCTCAAACCAGCAGACCGCAGGTAAAGAAAAAACTTAGGGCAAGGGCTACTGTTTCTGAGGGTAGTGAGGGGAGGAACCAGCAAAAAGGTCGGCAAGAGTCTGAGCTGGGAGTCCCTGGCTGTCACCAACTGGCTAGGTGACCTTGGGCCAGTCCCGGGCTGCCAGGGAATCAGTTTTCCCCGGCGTATAATGAGGGCCCGGAGGGTGGATTAGGAATCGGGGAAAACGGGAGGCCTGGAAGCCAGGCTGAGGTCGGGTTGGGTAACGGATGGCGTGAGGAGGCCGGCGCGGGGCCGGACCCGGGCGGCTCACCCACCGAGCGCCACCTGGCAGGCCCTGCGCAGCTGGGAGTGCTGGGGCCGCTTCACCTCCTTGTCGGCTAGGATCTTCTCCAGGGCCCGGGACACGAACATGCTCTTGGTCTGACTCTCCTGCATGGCCCCGGCCCGGCGGGGGCTGTCAGCCCCACGGGAGGGCGAGGCTGCAGGAGCCGCGCCCCGGCCGGCACCGGCCGCGTCGATCCGCGCCGCCCCGTCAGGAAGCGAAGCCGCGGCCCCACGGCGCCGCCATGGTGGAGCGCGTCACGTGACCACGTGACTGGTGAGGCCGCTACGGCTGCCGCGCGTCCGTCGACCCCGTGACCTTAGAGGGCGGGGCCTACGCTGAGGCCGCGGGGCGGCGGGGCGGCGGGGCGGCGGGGCGGCCGGGAGGCGGGGCGGCCGGGAGGCGGGGCGGCCGGGAGGCGGGGCGGCCGGGGCGGGTGAGGAAGGAAGGTGGGTAGACGGTCTGGAGGCCAGGAACTTGGGTTAGACGTGAAGGACAGATGAGGGGTGGCGAAAGGGAGGAGAGGTGGCGCTGGGGGTGAAAGAAGGGAAGAGGAGAAGAAAGGCCAGGGGGAGCGGGAGACTGGAGTTGTGAGGCAAGGGAAGCGATGAGGAGAAAGGAGGGGAGGAAGGAAGGTAAAGAGAAGAGTGGAAAAGTGGGAACTGGGAAAAGACGATAAAGGGGCAAGAAGAGGAGGTGAGGAAAGAGCGAGTGAGGGGATTCGAAGAAGAGGCCCACAGGCAAGGGGAGGGAGGACGTCAGGGGGTGAGAGGTCAGGAGAAGGGCAGAGAAGAGGAAAGGGAGAGGAGCCACGTGGAAAAGGAAATGGTGCGGGAGGTGGTGAAGGCGGTGAGACAGAAGGGCAAGGAAAGAAGCAGGGCGATGGGGAGCAAAGGCAGGGGCGGAGGGCAGAGGGAGAGGGGAGGTGAAAGGAAGGCGGGAAGAGAGAGGAGGGGTGCTTACTGACACTCCAGAGGCAGGGTGCCCGTTGGCAAGACACACAGCGTGCGACCCTCCTGGTCTCCTGGTAGTCCCGATGGGTAACCGTCTGTGTGTCTAGTGCCGCATCTGTGCCCTGCATGGCAGGCAGAACCACCCTGAGTACATCCTGAGTTTGTTTTCATCACCTATGGTTCCTTGTAGTGTGGTACATGGGGCAGGAGGTACTGGGGATTTCTGATAAGAATAAGAAACAGGTTGCCATTGTCACACAGCCTGCAAATAAGTGTGAGAAGACAGATATTCTGGCCCCAGGGCACTTTCCACTCCATCCCATTGCCAATGATACCACAACACCACAGGTGGTGTCCCCTAGGGCCCTTCCTTTCCCACCGCCCACCTCCCTGCAGGGAAGCCATGGTGCTGTTGGTCTCATGCAAAGATAGTGCTTTTCTTGGAAACCTCTGAAACTTCCAATGCAGGCATGCTCAGGTCTCGGCTCAAACATGTCCAGGAGGTCCTCCCTGCCCCTTGTCTACAGTAGTCCATCTCTCCTACTCCAGAGCCAGCTATAATGTTTCATGGCCATGAATTCCACTGCTGTAATGCAGCTTTGCAGCCCCTTCTGTCAAGAAGTGGGGTCTCTTTCCTCCACTGGCTTGGACTAGTCCTGTGACTGGCCTTGACCAATAAATAGAATGTGATGGAAGCCTGTGAGCGTTTCAGAGTCTAGGCATCAAGAAGCTTTGGATGCTTGGGAGCATCCAGAAGAAAGAACATTTGGAGAGAGAGGTCCAGTCATCCCAGGGCTGCTAGCTGAGCCCAGTCCTGGCCAACCTACCAGCTTAACAGAGCAGCTTGAGTAACCCTAGTGAGACCAGCAGAAGAACTGCCCAGAATATCAAAACAACAAATTATTGCTATTTTAAGCCACTTCATTTGAAGTAGCTTGTTACATAGTAATACATCAGTAAGACACATCTTAATCCTTATATATTGAATGAAATGAATGCATGAAACTCAGAAAAATGAAGTGCAGTCCACTGAGTAACAGCTATTCCCTGCCACAAGGTCAGGCCATGTCACTCCCCTGCTAAAAACCCTACACTGACTCCCCATTCCTTGGAATTGAATCTAAGGATTCATTTCTGCCCACATCTCTTTCCTCTTCTCTTCCTCCTTAGGACTCTCCAGCCACTCTAGACTCCTTTTTGTTCCCGTCAGGGGCTTGACTTATGCACCTCTGTTCCTCTCAATCAATGCTTCTCGATGAGGGCAGTCACCCCTAGGGGCATTTTGAAATTTTGTTGGGAGGCGCATTTTTGTTAGGATGAGGGGGCAGGAATGCTTGACACCAATCTGCAGGGCTGGACAATCCCATGTAGTCCTACATGGCTGGACTAGATATTCCTGGAGGCAAAAGATCTGTTAGTGATCTGAACCTAGAACCTGCATCTGCTTTATGTACAAACACAAAGCATTTTTCATACAGTCTTAATATACATTAAATTTTCCAGGAATGCAACTATTATTGTAAGTTAAGGGAAAACTATATTTTGTCTGGAACTTCACTAAATGATACTCACTGTTTCAGAACCACAGTAGCACCATTTATTCCAGCTGTGGTATTTGAATCGCCACAACACCCCTTACCAGTCTGCATTTGTAGCTATTGTAGTCCAGGGGATTTTAGGTTCCAGCATCTGACTGCTTTATTGTATTTCTTGGTGTAACTGTGCCTGAACATTTATATGTTGAAATAAAATCTGCAAATTATACATTGCTTTCCTTTTGTTTCATTTTTGTTAGGTTATTATCTTTTAAAAAATTTTTGTATGTAGGAAGATTCCATTATCTATGAATTTCATTTCAGAATAGTTAGTGGGGGACTTGTGGTTATAAAAAGGTTCGTGTGGTGTCTTTTGGGATTGGAAGGCACATTCCTGGTCCCTTCCTATCACTCTGATCTCAGCTTAGCATCACCTGCAAGGGAGGCTTTCACCAACCTCCCAGTTCTATCATGCCTGCTCCCCTTCATTTGCTTCCACACCATCTTGATTTATTTTCCTTACTGCACTAACCTTAGTTTGAAATGGTGGTGCTTGTTTATCTTTGCAATAGTTTCCTGTTGCTGCATAACAAATTACTTGAACACCTAGTGGCTTAAAATCAAATATTTATTATCTCATGGTTTCTGTGGGTCAGGAATTTGGGAGCAGCTCGGGTGGTTCTGGCTCAGGGCTCTCATAAGATTGCAGTGAAGCTGTCAGCTGGAACTGCAGCCACCTGAAGGCTTGACTGGGGCTGTACTTGCTACTTCCAGTGAGGCTCCCTCACGTGGCTGTTGGCCGGCAGCCTTGGCTCTTTGCCTCTCCACGTTGTTGTTTGAGGGTGCTCATGACCTGGCACCTCACTTTTCCCAGAGCAAGTGATCCAAGAAAAAAAAAAAGGGAAGTGATTTTTATGACCTCCTCTCTAAAATGGCTCACCATGCAGACTGATCAAGGGAGCTGTTTTGGCGACTCAGCCACAGTTGACATATATGTTGGTGATGTGGTTTTAAAACAGTGAACAGCATTTGGTAAAGTTCTTGACTAAAGTTTCCCCTTGATTTGCATATAGTTGCCTTAGAAGTGAATGACTAAGTCTAAACCCACACTCAAGGAAAGAAGAATTCGGCTCCACCTTTTAGAGGAGCAGTCTGTTTTCACATGAGTTTATTCACTTACCATATTCTCTTCCCCAGGAAGAATGTGCATCCGTGAAGGTAGAGACATCGTCTGTTTTGTTTATAGCTCTATGGCCAGAGCACATGGAATGTGCTCAATTACTATTTATGGAATGAATGAATGATGAATGAATGGAGGTGGCTGGACTGGGGTCCACAGGATTGAATCATTTAATCAGCTTTATTTGGGAGGCAACTTCTGTGTTTTTATGGTAGACAAAGTAATGGTCCCCAAATATATCCACAGCTCAGTCCCCAGAACCTGTGAATATATTACCCTAGAGAGCAAAAGGGATTTTCCATGTGTGATTAAATTAAGGGTTTTGAGATAGGGGATTATCCTGGATTATCTGGCAGGCTCAGTATAATCATAAAGAGTCACATAAGGAGTAGAGTCAGGAGGAGATGTCATGTTGGACGCAGAGGTTGCAGTAATTGTGGGTCTAGCAGCTGAGGAACACACGCAATCTCTAGAATCTGGAAAGGGCAGAGAAATGGGTTCTGCCTTACTGCCTCCACAAGGAATACTGCCTGCTGATCCATTTGACACTTCTGACTCCCTAAGCTGTGTTGTTTTAAGCCACTTTTTTGGTGGTAATTTGTTACAGCAGTTAAACTTGAATTTCAGACAAATGAATAGTATTCTTAATATAAGCATGTCCCATACAATAATTGGGACATAGTTATAGTTTTAAAAATATTATCTGTTTACCTGAAATTTAAATTTAACTGGATATGTATTTTACCTAGCAATCCCACTCCCAGGCCACCTTTGTCCAGCAGCCATGTAGGACCCCTGAGGCAATCTGAAACAGAAGTTTTTCTCAGCAGAGCAGTAAGAGAGAAAGCCCCTGGGTCCCTGACATTCTAGGGTCCGTGTCTATTGACTTGTACAAGCACCTTTTATTTTCGGTTCCCTATCACTGGCAGCTGAACCTAGTTCTAACTAGTAACTTTGGCAACCAATAGTGTCTGCTCTGACTCCTGTTTTCCTCTGAGTAATGTCTCAACTTGGTAACATGCACCAGTCATTTAAGGCCCTGTGGCTGTGCCTGCAGTCGGCCTTCCCAGCTGCCAGTCTGGTTTCTTCCCACTATACACAGACTCTTTATGTGCCTAGCCATGACCTGCCGCCCGCTCCCACACTGCCTCTATGTGTTATTGCTCCTTCTGAAACACATTTATTTCTGTGTTTGCTTTAAGGCAAAACTCCGCGATTCCTGTCAGAAACACCATTTGGCTGGGGCCTCATATTTAGGAAAAGTTTCAAATTTAGACATTTGAGATTCTCCCCAAAGGAGGTTATATGTGTGTGTGTGTGTGTGTGTGTGTGTGTGTATGTGTGTGTGTGTGTGTGTAGTATTCTGCTTGCTTGTATACATGTGTGCAGGTGCACTAAAAAAATTGTTAACTTGGTCAATGTTAATATTGAAGGCACCACGGTTGTAGGGTCTATTGTTTTTTGTTTGTCCCTGGATCTTTGTTTGTGCTCCCTGAGAAGAGGACCCCCAAGACAAGGATTTGAGTGTGTCTGGGAGGTGATCCCAGGACACAACAGCAGCGGAGTAGGGATGCAGCCAATACAGGTGTGCTGTTCAGCCAGTTACCAGGCAT